CATGTAAGGGGAGTTTTGTGGTTCTTGTTTTGATGTTCTGAATATGTATGAAATCACAAGGAGGATGCAATTCCCAAGAAATGCAAAGTCCCAGTGGTCAAATGTAATTCAAAGGCTTTAGGTATAAATGATGGATAAAGAAAATAAATGGGGGGGCATTTAATTTCACTCATGTTCTTTGGTAGTGGAGAATTTTAGTGGTGAGAATTTTTCAGTGGGTTCTTAACCACTAAGGTGGACATCAAGATGTTCTTCGTCCAATGTCCAGTTCTTCACTAACCACCACCAATGTCTTTATCATAGTCACCCAACCTTAATCTTATGCTTCTTTATTGGTGTGAAGTCCATCGACATGTGGCAGGGATCACAAACTCTGGCCAGAAGCTCGTTTTTTGGTAGGTCACAGAGCCTGAGGATTCAGTGCCAGCTCAGAAGAGCCGGAAAGACCTGCGACCCTTGAGGAGCAGCAGCTCAGAGTACCTCAAACAGTGAGGCGCTTGGGAGCACCCTAGGCCCCTGGGTCAGCCATTGTCTCCTCGCAGGTCAAATCGGCAGTGGTGAAGGCAGGAGGGTGGAATGTATAGTCTGCCAAATGCAAGCTACATTGACCGTTGGGAGAGGGCTTCGGAGCTCAGCTGCCTAGACGCCTGGCGAACCTGATTTGAACTGGCTTGGATCTGGCACCCAAAGTCCTCATCACATCCGGCCGCGACACAGCTCGGCTGGAGTGCAGCTTTGCAGGGCTGTTTGCCCACCTGGCCCGTCTTTAGAGGGGTCTGAACCACCGCCCTCTTGCCCAGAACTAAGAGTACCCACTGCCTATCGAGCACCGGTTGGCCCTCTGGAGCTGGGCTCTGAAGGGCCTCGGATCCCTCTGGGAACTCGGGGTGCCCCGTTTGCCCTTGAACCTGCCTCCGTCGAATCCTTAAAGAGACTAGGCGCGTCGAGCCCGCGGCTGCCCAGCTCCCGGACGGAGGCCGCTCTCGGAGGAACCACGCGGGACGGGCGAGTCGTAAAGCAATTGCAGGGGCAATAAAGGGCGGCTCGCCGTGTCCCCCAGTTCCTTTCTTTCTTACCCCTACAGTCCCTGTGTTCCCCCCTCCCCTCGCTTGCAGAAACAATCGGACAAAGGCTCAAAAGCCAGGAAATGTCCAATTCACTTCCCTTAGAGTTTATTAATTGCCCACACTCATCGTAAGGAAACTTGGCTGTGTTCCGCGAGCAACGAAGGGCACTGAGGGCCGGTGAGCAACAGCCCCCCCACCCCCCATCATTCTCCAGGCTCTGCGCAGCGGGAAGCCGCGAGCACCAGCCCCTGCATCCCCCGGGACCACGGCCCTTCGCCTCTAGGCAACTGAGGGCAGCAGAGCTGCCGGGTTCGGGCCAGCTCGGCGCTGGCTCTTTCTCTCGCCTCCCCAGCCTCCTCGAGCATTTGTTTGGGGCTGGAAGGAGGTTAGGGTTCGGATGCCATCCAGAAGTCTGGAAATCGATCCACCAAGCGCCCCTGGTGACCCCAGAAAGGGCTTTTCCAAGGCTTACCCAGTTGCTGCCCTCTCCCCACCTAGTACCTCCCCTTCAAAACCGCAGACTGGGACCTAGGTTTTGGGTGTGGGCCCAGACGACCAGCAGTACGGTCCAAATCTGGGGCTAAATCCACAAAAGGAGAACTAGCTTAACCATCTGTAGACCCCCTGTTTTTATTACGATGCTTCTTCCTTTCTTCAACGCCCTGGAAATTGTTGATGTTTATTTAGGAAGTGTGACACAGTTATTGGTACTTAGGAACTCGGGATGGTAAGGGGGTTTGATTTGACTCTCAATTAGCTTGAAAAAGAAACAGCGCACCTGGGGTCAGGCGGGTCATCACAATAACAAAAAGCGCGTCTACAAAATAAAAAGCTCTTTTATAAAGAAAGGCAATCCCGGAAATCCATGGCGAGCCTTCCTGAGGACCATCTAGCCAGGCCTATTCTCAGGTTTAATTGGCATGCAGTTTATTGGCGCCTTATTGGTGTTGATTGAAATTTTGCTCCCAGTCCTTTCTTTTGAGAATTAGCATCTCAAGTCGACTAACCCGAGTCAATTATCTCTTTAGGGTCTGTGTTTGGCCATAAATTTGCAAATATTCATTAAACTTACTTTGTAAACATCCCTTTTCCCAATCATATCCCAATCACTATTATTTCCTAAGAAAGTCTTTTCTTTTTAAAGGTTTCCATAAAAAGAAATTGATCAGGGAGCTATATCTGAATGAAGACATATTAAATCGATGACAGATACACATCACGCTGTGTTTAACAAGAGTTGTACAAGGAGGCGGGTTTCAGATTCCGCACGGCTATGCTGCACCATTATTCACATTTTTACAGCCTTTCCTTCATGCCTTCACCCACTAAACCATTAAATTTCAGCAATTCAAATAAAACAAAGCAGTTATAATTTTGAGGCGAAGCTACTTGGAAGGGGGTGGAGGTATGCATTTTACGACACAATAAAAATACGGAACAATTCATATTACAGGCTAAATTGCGTTTATTTTCTTCATCCATTTTTTTGGTTTTTACTTATAACCTGCAGGATTGGATGCAAAACTGTCATTATACAAGTACTGGCACCCAACGCCCTGAGATTAAAATAAAGGGAACATCTTTGAATTGTTCTGTGGAAATTACGACAATGGTGACAATCCCATAAACTCCCTCTGTATGTGGCTGTCTTCACTCGACCTTTGCCTGACTGGCCTGAGATGTTAAGGCTTTGAAACAAACATTGTGAAAGGCTATGTTTTCATTGGGGTTTGTCCCTGTTGTTTATTAAAATTGTGTCCTTGTGTTTCCACGGGCGCTTTTCTTATTTCTCCATATTTGAACTTCAACTGAAGCATAAAGAAAAAGTCCATTTGAAATTTGATTGTGTTTCTTTGTTTGCATGGCAGTTTTATAAGAGAAATGGAGAGTGTGTGAGTGTGTGTGTATGGCGCGCGGGGGAATCATAGAGCCAGTCTCAGTTAAACATTGTTCACATCGATGTAAAGGGTCCAATCCAATCAACCCTTTGGAAGATATTTCTTACTACTTCTCAGGACCATCTCCCAGCTTATGACTTTGCGCAGCCTATTTTCACTTGGACACCACGCAAATTAAATTGGTAACGTGCTTGATTGTGCACCACAAGAACGCAGCAACAGCAGCAAAATCTAGTCTTTATCACTTGAACAACAATGGTACGGAGAGCAAAGACTCACTCAAGGAGAGATAGCTATCCTGTCATTAGTTTTGAGCCTTCTGGAACATCATAACATTTTTAAAAATACTGTCTATTTTTTAAAAATGTAAGTGGCACATTTATCCAGTAAAACCCTGAGTTATTGGGGGCAAAATTCTCTACCCCCAAAAAGTGGTATAAGAGGTTATTTCTATTACATACCAAATCATTTAAAAGGGATGGGATTAGCTGAAAAAGCCAGATCTTATTCATTTCTTTCCAGGTAGTCACGTTCATTTATATATATCCTGAGAAGTAGTAATAAATATCTTCCAAAGAGTTGATTGAATAGGACCCTTTACATCGATGTGAACAATGTTTAACTGGGACTGGCTCTGTGATTCCAT